ATGTTCACACAGATGCTTCCTTGTGACCACTTCTAAACATATATGGGATATATTCAGTTTTTATTACTTTTACTATTATGTTATTCCAATCTACCAGTATTTCCCACCTAGACCACTAACTTTTCCCCTTATATTCATTCTTAACTCTAGGTAGTTTAGAAAAAGTGTCATGTGATTGTCTCAGTGACTGTCTGTGGCTAGCTTGTATCAGGTCTGCTCTGTGTCTCAACAAGAGACCCATGGCTCCCTGGACATGTTCTTCACATGACTGATGCAGAGACAGCAGGCCAAGAAAAACCACACAAGCACATCTATAGCCCCTGCTCAGGTCATATCCACATGGCATTGGCCAAACTAGTCAGGTGACCAACCCTAATGCCCAGCCCACCATAAATCACATCACCCCAATGATCTACTGGGGGTGGGTGCAAATGTGCAAATGCAAGGCTAACAGTTTACCATCCCAAACCAGGGAGAGCTTTTCAGTGGACACTCTGCTTCATCCTACTTCTGTTCTGTGATTTCATTATCACATAAATAAATGTGCTCTGTAGGGCTTTCTCTACAGGAACAGACTCTGCTTGCCTTCCGAGCCTTATCCCTTACCATCTTCTTTTGCCATTGCCAAACTCTAGCCATAGCAGACTTGTTTTAACAAACTTTGTCCTAAATTATATAACTCTCTGATCATGATATTTCCACTGCCTAGAATAACTAGCCTTCCTTTTTCCTTTATTCAAACTTAGAGCTGAAGGATGTCTCTTCACAGAAAAAAAGTCCATGATCAACAAGACAGGGTAAAATGCTCCCTTAATACACTTATCAATATATTAACCTATGGTCTCAAGAGAAATAAAACCAAAGGCTATTTAAAGAGACATAGATATATGGCAGATGATTTATTTGGGATCATGTAATTATCAAGGTTGTTTTAGTTGGGTTACTATTGTAATGAAACTCTGATCAAAACCAATTTCTGGAGGAAAGGCTTATTTTCATCTTACAAGTTGTAGTCTGTCATCCTGGAAAGTCAGGGCACAAACCAATGCAGAAGCCATAGAGCAATGTTGCTTACTGGCTTGTTTCTCATGGCTTGCTCAATCTGCTTCTTACAGCACCCAAGACCACAAACTCAGGTTTAGAACCTTCCCCATAAACTGAGACTTCCCACATACATCATCAATCAAGAAAATGCACCACAACTTGCCCACAAGGCAATCTGGTGGGGACATTTTCTTATTTCAGAGTCCATCTTCCAAAATGACGCTAGCTCAGGCTGACATAAAACTAGTCAGCACAAAGGCTGAGAATTCCCAAGACAGTCTGTTTGCAAATTAAAGAATGAGGAAAGCCAACACCACAGCATAGTCCAGTGCCAAAAGCCTCAGAACGATGGAAGTCAACAGCATGACTCTCAGTCTTGGGCGAGAGGCTGGATAAGCCAATGACTGTTGATTCAAATTTAGAGAACTAATGTACATGTTTTAGATCAGAGCGTATAAATAATGAACAGAGCTGGACAAACTTTATGGCTGTGGGGTTAGAGTTGAGTGCAGGCAAAGGGAAGATTAGGACTGGGTCTAGACAGATTGATGTAGAGCAGGTCCAGGTGGGCAAGCATGAGAATGGGCAGACATCAGTTCCAATAGGCTATGTCAACAGCAGAGACCTAGACACGCTGAAGGTTTGGGGATGGTTGGGAGTTCTTTGCCTATCATTCAGGTAAAGCTCACACTGGATGGTTAGAGGACTAGTTAGTGAGTCTCGGGTTCATTATGGGGTCCAGATGAACATCATACACTTTTCTTGGTGTGGTATTTCTGATGGGCTCTTGACCCTGATTTTTCCTACATGATTACTATATGCCACCATACCCCTTGTATCCCATTTCACTCCGATAAATTTCTAGAATGGCATCATTTGTACACTAAGGGATAACTTACATATCAATCTATGACACAGGGGTGATGATGAACAGATAGTGGCATCTATGCATCCACTGCATCCACCAAAGCATAGATTTATCCCCCAATGTCAAAATAAAGTAAATTCAACTACGTTTAGTTCATTGTTCAGATACGTTAACTTGATTAGTTTAATTACTCAATTAAACTAATAGCTTTGGACACTTTAAAAGAGCTCTAATTTGCTTGTATATAAAGGCTTAATATGAGTTTTCCTTGTTAGGGTCAGGGTGTCTTCTCACCCATTATTAGCAGCTGTAGACAGACGTTAAAGCAGCTGTTTGTTATTGATAATAAAATATATCAAGTATTATACAACTGCTTTTGGTCTTTTTCTCTCAAGAAGTCCTGTATGGTTTATTATTCTATTCCATATCCTAAGTTAAAACTACACATGTAAAACCCTGAAGTAGCGTGGTATGGGCTTGCGAGTTTATTTTGCTGTTTGAAGCTAGTGAAAGGGGCTAAGTTGAAAACTGACAACTAAGTTGAATGGCAGTTAACCTTATTTCTGTTCCTCCATGCTTTCCAATTGCCACCTGACTTGTATTGCCATCAGGTTACTTACCCTAAGAGCAGAATGGGCAGTGCTTTGATAAACACTAAGATCCAGTGCAGATGTTGTCTTGGCTTCTTGACAGATGTAACACAGTTGGAATTGTCATAATTTCTCAGTGATTGAGCTTTAAGGGATTTTCATGTGCTGGGCTCAGTTCTGAGAGACAAAACTATATGCATGTATTAGATTTTCGAGACAGGTTACTCTATGTAGCCCTGACTGTCCTGGAACTCGCTTTTTGTAGATCAGGCTAGCCTCTGTTTCCAATTACTGGAATTAGCTACCCATTCTCTAGCCCAGTTTTAATAGGTAGTCATTTAGGTCTATCTCTGTGAGAAGGAGAGCTGCCCTGTAAGTGAGTTTTCTTCTTGATGAAAGCCTAGTTGCCAGGTGTGCTAGGTTGGTAAGTATTGGATAGCAGAACCTGAGTGCTTGATGTTGAGTGAATCCTCAACTGCATTACCACCTAGGAAATTTAGGGGCTTTTCAAAGGACAAGTTAAGGGGTCAGTTGTTAGGATCCAGCATTTCTAGTACTATTAATACCTCAGGACTAGACGAGCATACTCATTCCTGCCATATGGAATAGAAGTAGGAAAAAGGAGCTTGTTGCTTGCACAAAGTTTGGGAGTGAGGGCAGGCATTTGGGACTAGGTTTGGGAAAAGATAAGCCTTGTTAGGAAGGCTGGTTACTTGCTAGGTCCAGTCAGAGAATGAGACAGATGATCCTTACAACAGGCTAGATCTAGGACTAGTGGTGTGCTTGTTTACTTAGGGAGCTGTTGCCATAACACTGACAGAATCTAGCCTTCTCTTTCCTAAGACCTGCATCAGGGTGAAGTGAATGCTAAGACCTGAGATTTGAGAAGTTAGGCAGTGAGATTGAGACAAGGCTTCACTGTGTCTGGGCCTGGTTGGTTTGGGGCTTGCTATGTGCTGGCCTAACTCAGATGCACCTGCCACTGACTCTTGAGTGCTGTACTTCAAATTTGTGTGCCACACAGCCTTAGAAGTCTCAAGACAAGTTGCTTCCTTTCATCTACTTATTATTTCTTTATTTTATTTTTTTGGTTTTTCAAGATGGTTTCTCTGTGTAGCTTTGTACCTTTCCTGGAACTCACAAGAGATCTGCCTGGCTCTGCCTCCTGAGTGCTGGGATTAAAGGCGTGCGCCACCACCGCCCCAGCCTCATCTACTTCTAAGGATAGTTTGAAGTCCCAGTTCAGCCTTTCCTGAATGCTAGATCTTTACATTAGTTAATCACATCTTGCACAGTGGTAGCTGGATGTTAGAGAAGTCATTGAACAGATGAACCTCCAAATTGAAAGGTATTTTGTGGTGAGTTGATACTGGCTTATATCCTAGGCTGGCTTTCAACTTACTGTGTAGCTAATGGCCTCAATTTTTCTTTCTTTTGTGCCCTTCCCCAAATTGATGGTGTTAGACTGCCCTTATGTACCTAAACTTTTTTTTTTGGTTGAAAACTTGGGCTTGCTAGGTACTGTGTAGCTCAGGCTGACCTCAAACCTGAGCAAACCACCTGCTGCTTTAGCAGGCATGTGAGCATGTGCTTCAAAGGGTATGGCACCATACTTTTTTTTTTTTTTTTTAATTTAATAAAAACATGGTAAGGATGAACCCAAATAGTCGGTCTTGTTCTGGTCCTGGGAATGCATGTTAGTATTGCCACTTTGCCAGACAGGTGGCTTAATATGGCTTCAGTTGTACCTGATCACTAGTAAATAAAAACCTACGTAATTGGGCTAGAGAGGTGGCTCAGAGGTTAAGAACACTGCTTACTCTTCCAAAGGTCCTGAGTTCAATCCTCAGCAACCACATGGTGGCTCACAACCATCTGTAATGAGATCTGGTGCCCTTTTCTGGCCTGCAGGGATATGTTCAGACAGAACACTGTATACATAGTAAATAAATCCTTAAAATACAAATATTTTTTTTTTTAAAAAAGCTAACCATGTTCGACTGTATGCATTGGGTAGTTCATCTTTCAGTGTTTTTGGACATCTGAGTAAAAAAAAAGGGCAAAATGTTTAGGTATAGAGGAAATACGAAGGTTAAAATATTTTTCTGTATAGTAGTACTTCCTCTAAAGTTTTTACAGTGCCTGATGGCACTCACAGGTAAACCGATAGAACGGGCATCAAGTGTAATTGTGCTGGCTTGTTTCTTGGCTTTTTAAGTAAGAATTTCTCTTCTCTCGTGGTAGTGGGTGGCAATTTTGTCCTGTTTAATTGCTTTTGTGCATTTTGTTTTTGTTTATGAGACAGGGTTTTTCTGTGTAACACTGTCTTGAACACTCTTTGTAGACCAGGCTGGCCTGGGAGTCACAGGTCTGCCTCCTGAGTGCTGTGATTAAAGTGTATGCCACCACTGCTCAGACACTTGTGTACTTGGTATTGATTTGAACTTGAACACAAGTCATGTGGCAAAGGGAAAAAGAATTAAGATCCGGACTTTTCATAAATTAGAACTATTAGTATTACAGTTTATTTCCTTTTGAGTTACTTGAAACAAGTTGTGGATGTTTAATGAACACCTACCTACTGGTAAGTTTAGAAATAGTGACATTAATGCTCATCAGATACTGCTGTGTGTATAGTGTGGGGGGGGGTGAGTGCAGCCTTCATGAGTGTTCATAGCCACACTGAAGGGTACTTTTGGTTTGACAGTCTTGCTTTGTACTTTAAGGTTGACTTTGAGTTTCTGAGCATTGGGATTATAGACATGAACCACTTTGCCCAGTTTCTTAGTTTTTGAACAAATAGCAAATTCCATGTTGGGGATGGGTGAGGGTTCCTGGGTAGATTGCTCCTCTAGCTTAGGTTTTGCTAGAAAGTGATTTGCTGGAAGTGCTATACAAACATTCAGGCAAGATTGGTGTTCTTTCTTGATGCTTCTAATTTTTCACCTGCCCAGAATCCAGTCCATTGGGGGAAGGGCTAGGTTGTTGTGTGGAAGGAACATTGCCATTGTGGGTGCCTTTTTCCAGAGCTGGACTAGCATCTTCAGTTGCAGCAGCCTTGTAGATGACTTTCGTTTTGTCTGTGAAGTCAAAATAGAGAATGACTGAGTAATATTGTGGTGGTTTGAATGAGCATGGCCCCTATAGGATCTATATTTAAGTGCACAGTTTTCACTTGGAGAAGTTTGGGAAGGATTAGATGGGGTGGCCTTGTTGGGGGTGTGTCACTTGGGGTGGGTTGTTGAGGTTTCAGGAGCCTTCATGCCTCATCGTTCCTAGTTAGCCTTTCCTTGCCTGTTGGTGGGTCAGGATGTAAGCTCTCCGTTACTGCTCCAGTGTGATGCCTGCTGCCGTGCTCCCTGCATGAAGGGCGTGAACTCAGAACTCTTTGAAATTGTAAGCTCCCAACAAACCCTTCTGTAAGTTGCCTTGGTCTGATGTCTAGCATCACAGCAATAGAAAAGTAACTAAGACAAACACAAAACTTGTCCAAATACAGGAACTCCAGAGGGTGCTCTGTATCTACCATCTCAGCCCTTTTAGAATGATTTGTTTTTCCTTTGAGATCCCTAATGTGTTAGCACTTTGTGCAGATTTTTCATCACTCTGTAACAACTCACACAATAAAGCTGTAGAGAAAAGTGGGTTTAGGTAAGTAATGACAGATTCTGAAGGAAGGGAAGGCAGGAAGAAGCTTTAGGGGAATCTGATCAGATGTTTCAGACTGCCAACCCCTACTTGCCTCAATCCGGTTGGTTTATCTATTTTTTTTAAACCCCTATGTGGAGTGGTGAGGAACTTTGAAGACAGGAGTCAGGAAGGTCCTCTCTTTTCATGCTCTCCCACTTCAGCAGAAGAAATGGGTCAAACTTTTCACTCAGTTTTGGTACTGGGGTCTTCAAAATCGGCCTTTTCAAGGTCTTGATGGAAAATCCAGAGTCTCACATTGAAGGTTATCACAGGTCTTCTGGAACCACAGCCCTTTAAGCCTGGAACCTAATTGTTGGCTCTAGAAGTGCCATCCCTTGCACTGTTCATGAAAGTGTTGCCCACTTATTACCACTAATAAGTGACAGGATTGTTTGGAGGAGAGGCTCAGACTTAGGTTCTTTCCCCAGCTAGTTTTGAACCAAAGGTTTTAGTGGTTCTGTAGTGTGGCCAGCTCTTCGCTTTCCTTTTTGGCTTCTTGATAACCAGGATTACATCTAAATTGAGAAGGGAAAGTTGGCGTTTGCTAATATAGTAATGGCCAATTCTACCAGGCAAAGTTTTGTATCTGTCTTGAGGTGCAAATCACAGTTCCTGGGGTCTAGGAAGAATCTCAGCTTTGGTTTTACTAAAAATGTGATGCAGTAGAAGAAACTGGGTGGTTAGGAAAAAAGATGTTGGAAAATAGCTGTTATGAAGCAGTGTTGAGCTTTTTGTTGTCAAAGAGACATTCGTGAGGGTTCAGGGATGTAACTTGGTGGCAGAATGCTTTCCTAGCATGCCACATCCTGAGTTTAATTTCCCACTAGAAAGATACCTCCTGGACATGGTACATGATGTGTAATGTGATGACCACTTGGAGGCTGGAGAATCTCCACTTTGAGGCTAGCCTGAGCTACATACAGAAAACAAAGATCGAGGGTAGAGTATTTACTTTGTACACATGAACAGTTTGAATACTCAGTACCACAAAAATAAGAGTACTGTGGTGGCTGGTGAGGACTCAGCAGGTGCTCACTGCTAAGCTGTGTGACTACATGTGTCGATGTGCATGTACACATGCACACAATTTAAAGACCAATTTGTTTTTATGTATATGGGTTATTTCTCTGCATGTCTTCGCACTGCATGCAGTGTCAATGGAGGCCAGGAGAGGGCATCCTGTAGGACTTGAGTATGAGCTGTTTTGTGAGTCCTGTGGAAGAGCAACCATGAGCCATCACTCCAGCCCCTGGAAGTGCTCTCTACTGTTCAGCTGCCTCTGAACCATTTAGAAGCACTTTGAGCGAGGGATTCTGGGCTTTGAGGTTCAGTTATGTTCTGAATATAATAAACTTGCTCTGAACGTTTTAAGAAAAATGCTCCTAGCCAGGTGGTGGTGGAGCACACCTTTAATCCCAGCACCTTTAATCCAGAGGCAAGTGGATCTCCGAGTTGGAGGCAAGCCTGGTCTACAGAGCAAGTTCAGGACAGCTGGGCTGTAGAGGAACCCTGTCTCAAAAAACAAAATGTCTGATTCGAGTAATCAGTACAAATCATACCAGTTATGTATTTAAGAAGTCTGATTGAATGACTGTAACCAGAATGGTATCTCTGGATTCTGTTGCATTAGGACTGTCTTGTGTTTTTTTCTATGGGGGCACTAGGGTAATAGGACTCTGACCTGGTTGTAGAAAATGGAATACTGTAAGAATGCTGAATGGGGCTGGAGAGATGGCTCGGCGATTAAGAGCACTGGCTGCTTTTCCAGAGGTCCTGAGTTCAATTCCCAGTAACCACATGGTGGCTCACTGCCATCTGTAATAAAATCTGGTGCCCTCTTCTGGCCTGCATGCATACATGTTATATACACAGTAAATAAATAAATCTTAAAAAAAAAAAATGCTGAAGCTTCCCAAACACCCTAGAAATATCTTAGGTCCAAGGTAGTTGTGTCCTATCATACTGAAATTCTTTGCTTAGACAAAGTGGTCTCATATTGCCTGTCCCTTGAGAAACTCCACAACTTGATTTTCTCAACTAAAGACAGTGCTACTGATGGAAATGACCTCCACTCTTTAAAGTCTTGCATAGTTTTCTTGCTACCCTGGTTCAGGTCCCTGCAGGGAACCTCTTGTTGGAAGCTCAGGTCTAATGTGGCAGCACTCAAAGGGGAGATGATTCAGTACTTACCCTTGGGAGGCTTGATTTTCTCATAGCACCGGAAGACAACAATGAAGAGAAGTCCTTCTGCAAGTTGGAAAATCATGTAGAGAAGAGGAAAGAAGAAAAGTGGTCCAATGACTTCAGGGGGGAAGGTCACATTGAGGATGGTAGAACAGAGTTGAATGTTTTGGAATCCTGTTTCCATGCTGATGGTGCGCCTGCACCTGTGTGGTGGGGAAACGTGCTTAACAGAAGACAGTTGGCAGCCGCCGTGCCTCCCCTTCCCCTTTCTGATACTTTAGGTCTACAGCATCCAGCACAGGACAGTGGGAGGAAACAGGAGGCTGAAGTACACACGGGTTTGGAAAAAGTTAACCTGACTCCTCACCAATCTAACGCTGAGAAGGATGGTGACTGAGCAGTACAGAAAGTTTATAAAAGGCTGTGTGTGTGAGTGCACACATATGCTGCCGACTACTTGGCCTCGTGTGTGCTGGGCATGTAACTACCACTGAGCTTCATCCATCTGGCCCCAAGGAAGCCTTTTGAATTGTTGGGAAATTTTGATTGGTCTTCTTTTATAGACTTGCTAAGTTAAAACTTGAAAGTGACTGGCAGATAAGTAAAACTGGGAGCCAGTATCATTAGCATGTTAAGTTAATTGCACATAATAACATAGTTGCACATTTGACTAGACTGTGGGAGATTGAGATGTCACAGACCTCATCTTGTACCTGTTTGTAGCTTATATATCTTTAGCTGTGGAACTTGTCATTAAAAGCAAATGTCAGTCCCACTACGTATCTTTGAAAGCTTTACTTCCCTAATTTTGCTTTGCATTTTGTGGATTGACGAGCAAGATGCTTATATTTAATGAATACATGTTCCAAAGTGTGTTAAAGTAATTTGCTAGCTTTAGTGTATTATGAGTACTGCTGTGGCCATTGTGATCTGTAGCTCCCAGAACTGGTAGTTCTGCAGCACTATTGTTATGGCAGCCTTTTATCTTGTGTGGTACATGCACAGTAATTTCATCTTTATCAACAAGACTGTAATAGTGGATTTTGTGTGTGTTTTAAAAATGAGTTTCTCTTGGATTGTTGGGGGAAATTCTACTAATGCATCGGTTCTCAACTTGGGGGGTGAATGACTATCAGGTCACCTGAGACCATTGTAAAGCACATATTTACATTATGATTCCTAACAATAAAAAAATTACAGTTGGGAAAGTAGCAATGAAATAATTTTATGGTTGGGGTCACCACCACAAGGAGCTGTGTTAAAGTGCTGCAGCATTAGGAAGGTTAAGGACCACTGTGCTATAGACTCCCACATAAGTGTTTTATCTATTTAGGCTAACAGGTCTCTGATGTTCCTACAGACTCTCAAGTTGACTGTTCTTTTACAGTTCTTTTACTGTATTTGTGAGTTGGGTTGTGCTGTAGCTAAAGACCTGAGCTTGGAGTACCACATAGCATCACTTCATCCTACATTGTTGTCAGAAGAGCAAGGAGAGTGGGCAAGGAGTATTAGCAGTGGCATTAAAGCTACCCCAGTGCCGTCAGTTGCCAGGCAGCTCCAGGATGAGGGATCTCAACACTGGGAGAGGGCAGACTTTGTTATTAGTGCAACCCCCCGCCCCTCGGTATTTCTCATTGCCCAAAGTCCTTGTTCAGTTGGTGCACTTGACTATATGCCAGGAAATGTTCTGCCCTTCAAGGCTCTGAGGCTAGCCGGGTGGCGCATGCCTTTAATCCCAGCACTCAGGAGGCAGAGGCAGGCAGATCTCTGAGTTTGAGGCCAGCCTGGTCTACAGAGTGAGTTCCAGGACAGGCTCTAAAGCTACACAGAGAAACCTGGTCTTGAAAAAGCCCTGAGGAAAATGGAACCGAAGAGACTTACCTTGGATTGAGCTGGAAGACAGCAGAGAGGACATAGCCCAGCAGGAAGCCACTGAGAGGCATCAGGGAGGAGGTGGCCAGTAATGGTGGTGTCATGGCGAACACGATGCTATTGCCCACATTGATGACAGAGAGGACTGTGACAGCCACGCTGAGGAAGAAAGTGGTGATCATTCCTCCCTGGACATGGGAACAAGAGGCCATTAGAGGGTCATAGTGGGCCCAGAGCAGTGGGGGAGACACAGGTATTGGTAGCAGAGATCATTTTATTAGAATGGGAAAGAGATATGAAAAGCCTGTACCTCCCATCTTTTTGGGTTTCTTACATAAGTAGCTAGGAAACTTACATTTGGCCAATACCTTAATGACTAGAACATCGGCCAGGCATAGCCAGCTGCTTTTGACCTAGCCCAGACCGCTGTGAGATTTTCAGTGATGTGCTGTACCTGTGAAGGGATGAGATTCCCTGGTCCTATGAACATACTTTTCAGTACATTTCAGAATGACATTTTCAGTCTGTAAACATTTGCACAAGACTGTCCCTAAAAATATTTTGGAGCTTTTCTCAGCCTCCATTATAGGGAAGGACTTCATTATTTTAGGGCAGCAGTTCTCAACTTAAGGGTTACACCCTCTTGGGGGGGGTGTCAAATGACCCTTTCACAGGGTTGCCTAAGACCATCAGAAAAGATTCATAATAGTGGCAAAATTAGTTATGAACCAGCAATAAAAATAATTTTATGGTTGGGGGTCACCACAACATGAAGGGACTGTATTAAAGGGTCACAGCATTAGGACTAAGTTGAGAACAACTAGGATGAACTGGACTTGTGGAAATTGCCAAGAGTTGCCGGACGGTGGTGACGCACGCCTTTAATCCCAGCACTCAGGAGGGAGCGGCAAGCGGATCTTTGTGAGTTCGAGGCTAGCCTGGTCTCCAAAGCGAGTTCCAGGAAAGGTGCAAAGCTACACAGAGAAACCCCGTCTCGAAAAACCAAAAAAAAAACAACCCCCCCAAAAAAAAACAAAGGAAATTGCCCAGAGTCATTAGAAGCAAAGCTGATACACAAGACGGTTGTACCAGATAGCCTACTTTTTAACTCTAGTGATGTGTA